TTTCATTCTCATGATTTGTTCGACATCTTTACGAGCTTGGGGAGTGCATAGCAAATTCAATGTCATTTGATGGGGGATTATGGACTGATGTCAATTGATTGTAGTAATTTCAGGTCTGTTTGCCATGAAGATTGATGTAAAATGAAAGGACTTTTGAGTTTTCTAAGACTATGCTTTCCTCAAAATTTTATTGCTGGTTGAGATTATTGCATGTATTGTTGTACTCGCAAATTTTTATTACAGTGAAATGTTTTTATTCCGTATTTCAGTGAAATTTTGTGACAAAAAAAATGATAGTTTATAGGTAAGTGCTAGTAAAATGTTGGTAATGCATTTCCCATATTTCTTTCAGACATAGCCAACCAGTAACAATATATTTCTCAGGTTGCATCTAAATACTAATGAAACAGTAACAATCCATTTGCAGGTAACGTATTATGCAATAATGTATTTCTCTACTAATATATTTCAAAGACAATATGCTTGGTTAGGGATTAATGTTAGCAGGGAAATAGAATACAATCGCATATTTAATAATTGGTTAGCAAGCAGTTATGGAAAGAAATGTAGAATAATTTGGAAGGTATGTAAGGCAGCGCTGGTTTGGGAAGTATGGAAAGAATAGCATCAGAGATGTTTTGAAGACAAGTTGAAAGATGTAACTGAAGTATAAGAGAAAGTGAGGGTTTCTGTTGTAGAATGGTTGTTATAAAAAAAGAGTGGCATGGCATTTTTCGAGTAGATTTAATGTATAAGTTATATTTTCTGATCAAAGAAATATCGGTAAAAGAAAGAAGGATTGGGATTTGGAATGTACCAGAGGAGGGGTGGTTAAAACTAAATTTTGACAGGATATCAATGATAATCCTGGGCCTGTAGAGTTTGGTGGTTTCGTTCGTGATCAAGATGGGAGGGATAGTGTTAACATTTTATGGACCAACTGGGGTGATTACAACTATTGACGCAGAACTTAGAGTTTTATTACAGGGGTTGAAATTGGTTAAGAACTTATCAAAACCAGTGGTGGTAGAAGGTGATCCATTGAATATTATTAAATAGATTACAAAGAAATGGTTATATCCATGGGTGTTTCATGGATTGGTGCACGAATTTTGGATTGTTGTGAAGGTTTGATTGTAAACTTTGCGCATGCTTTTAGAGAGTGAAATATGGAGGCAGATATCTTAGCTAAGGCAGGTGTTAATGTTGTGGAGTTGGCAGTTGTTAGAGGTTCGTAGTTGTTTTTTTGTTTCTTTGATTTTTTTGTTTGTTGTAATTTCCTCTGCGTATGGCAGGTTGGCTGTGTTGTAATTTCTGATGATTGAAATGAAAAGATCACTAATTCTAAAAAAAGAAAAACCTTAAGGGCAACAACATTACATAATAATGAGAATGCTTCATAAGTCATAACTAATTAATTTTTAAATACTTTCGAATAGCATGTACCTATTCGTACATAAGATGCTAGATGAAAAAAATTCGTATCAAAGTTGAAAACAGTATATTATTATTATTGATTGTTATTTTTTAAAAGTACAACTATTATAAATGCTACTGCATGTTTACTTTTACTTTACCTGTAAGAGATTGACACATATAAAACTACATGTTTTAGTTTTTGGGGGTAGTTAGACCCATATGTTTTATGAAACCTTTAGTTTCATGAAACCCAATATTTATAAAAGATGTTATGACTAAGCCCAAAATGAGTATAATAATCAGAATCTAAATTAGTATAAAAAATCATAAATTTTTTTGTAATGAATAATCTTGGTATAAAAAACTGGTAATCTTACTAAGAAAATTAGAATCTTAGCATAAAAAATCACAAAAATCACTTTTTGCCTCATTAAAACCCATAAAAATAGTATAATAATATTTTGAAAAAGTACTATACTGAAATTAATATCAAATTTAGTATCAATAGACACTCAGAGAAGATAGGACATCTCAATTTTCATGCATTTTTGTAAAATAATAAAAGTACATAATTCACTACCCCAATTTTTTTAAGAACTTCCAAAAAAAAAACTATATGTATATATTTTTTAAAAGTACAAGTATTATAAATGCTAGTGCATGTTTACTTTAACTGTAAGAGCTTGGCACATATAAAACTACATGTTTTAGTTTTTGGGGGAAGTTAGACCCATATGTTTTATGAAACCTTTAGTTTCATGAAACCCAATATTTATGAAAAATGTTATGACTAAGCCCAAAACGAGTATAATAATCAATATCAAATTAGTTTAAAAAATCACAAATTTTTTTGTAATGAATAATCTTGGTATAAAAAACTGGTAATCTTACTAAGAAAATTAGAATCTTAGCATAAAAAATCACAAAAATCACTTTTTGCCTCATTTAAACCCACAAAAATAGTATAACAATATTATGAAAAAGTACTATATTGAAATTAATATCAAATTTAGTATCAATAGACACTTAGAGAAGATAGGGCATCTCAATTTTCATGCATTTTTGTAAAATAATAAAAGTACATAATTCACTACCCCAAATTTTTTAAGAACTTCCAAAAACAAATACTATTTGTTTATATTTTTTAACAGTACAACTATTATAAATGCTAGTGTTTGTTTACTTTAACTGTAAGAGCTTGGCACATATAAAACTACATGTTTTATTTTTTGGGGGTAGTTAGACCCGTATGTTTTATGAAACCCAATATTTATGAAAAATGTTATGACTAAGCCCAAAATGAGTATAATAATCAATATCTAAATTAGTATAAAAAGTCACAAATTTTTTTGTAATGAATAATCTTGGTATAAAAAACTGGTATTTTTACTAAAAAAAATTAGAATCTTAGCATAAAAAATCACAAAAATCACTTTTTGCCTCGTTAAAACCTACAAAAATAGTATAACAATATTTTGAAAAAGTAATATATTGAAATTAATATCAAATTTAGTATCAATAGACACTCGGAGAAGATAGGGCATCTCAATTTTCATGCATTTTTGAAAAATAATAAAAGTACATAATTCACTACCCCAATATTTTTAAGAACTTCAAAAAAAAATACTATTTGTATATATTTCTAGTATTTCTTATGGCCACATCTTGCTGATCTAGCTTATTCTCTGATCCGGACCATTGATTCGACCCAAAATCTAAACGGAAATCTAGGACACCAAACTGTTTTTTAAAACGTTGGCAATATAGATTTGCACAAGATGCACACATTTAACTTTTATGACAAATGGGTAATTCGTGTAAAACAGGGGAAAACAAATATGTGATAGAGCATGTTAAGAAGATCGACTTTCTAAACCTCATTCCCGATTGTACGCAAGTTTCAAGTGTATTAAATAGTCTCCCCCCTTAAACCTCATTCCCAATTGTACGCAAGTTTCAAGTGTATTGAATAGTCTCCCCCCTTAAAACCTTATTCCCGATTTTACGCAAGTTTTAAGTGTATTGAAGAGTCTCCCCCCTTCAAGCGAGTTGATGGACATTACTCTTAAGCACTCTAACCAATGTATAAAAAGAGAGAGAAATAAGAGGGAAAGGTAGACTTGAACTTTGTTGAAAATTCCTCTAGGTGTGACTACATTAGGCCTTTGATTATAAAAATAGTAATGAGATTTAAAAAAAAGGGAAAAGAGTTTAAACCACAAAGTGGGAGAGTTTTCTCACATAGCGCCCACCACAAGAACAATGATTAAAGTCACAACTACAAGAACAACAAGAATCTTGACCTGGTCTGTATGGTTTCTGAATCTATTGTGGTTGACCATTATTCAAGAGGATGATTGCTAGTCTCGTTATCGACTAGGCATGTTTCAAGTACTAATGATGATTTTCAGTTTGAAGGAAGTCAAAACTGGTAACCTATATATATATATATATATATATATATATATATATATATATAATAAAGTAACTACTCTACCTA